TCACTGTCACTGTCACTGTCACTGTCATTGTCTCTGCCTCTGTCACTGCACTGCCACTGCCACTGCCACTATCACTGTCACTGCACTGTCACTGTCATTGCACTGCCATTGTCACTGTCACTGCCATTGTCACTATCACTGCCACTGTCACTGCCACTGTCACTGTCACTGCACTGTCACTGTCATTGCACTGTCACTGCCACTGTCATTGTCACTATCACTGTCACTGCCACTGTCACTGCCACTGCTGCTGTCACTGCCGCTGTCACCGCACTGCCACTGCCACGGTCCCCATGTCCCCAGGCGGACACTCACCCGCCACCAGCGGCGCGTGGGTGACCGAGGGCTCGAGGATGATGACGGGCTGCAGCCGCGGGGACAGGGGGCTGCCGGGCTCGCGCTGCTCCAGGCCGGCCGGGATGAAGACGGGCGGGTGCGCGCCCGGCAGCACCGGCCCGTTGAGCACCGGCACCCGGTGAGCCAGGCCGGGCAGCGCCCGGCGCTCCGCATCGGCCTGCAGGGACAGGGACCGGTGGGATGGGACGGGACAGGGGTGGGACAGGGACGGGACAGGGGTGGGACAGGGATGGGATGGGATGGGATGGGACAGGGACAGGGACAGGGATGGGGCAGGGATGGGATTGGGGTGGGACAGGGGTTGGGCAGGGACAGGGATGGGGCAGGGACAGGGATGGGGATGGGACAGGGACAGGGTGGGGTGGGACAGGGATGGGACAGAGACAGGGATGGGACAGGGATGGGATGGGACAGGGACAGGGACAGGGACAGGGCATGGCAGGGAGGGACAGATATGGGGACAAGCACGGGGACAGGGACAGGGATGGGGCACATACAGGGACAGGCACGGGACAAGGATGGGGACAGGCATGGGGACAGGAACAGGGACAGGAACGGGACAGGGATAGGGACAGGCACAGGGACAGGGACAGGGACAGGGCAGGGACAGGGACGGGCTCGGGGACAGGGACAGTCACAGGAACACAGCACCGTGAGGGCACAGGACTGTCCCCACCATGCCCGAGGGCAGCACCGGGAGCCCCAAACCCCAAGGAGGAGCCCCAGTGCTGGGGCCCAGCCCGGGCACCTACCCTGGCGCCGGTGGTGGGGGACAGGGACAGGGACAGGGACAGGGACAGGGACAGGGACAGGGACAGGGACAGGGACAGGGACAGGGACAGGGACAGGGACAGGGACAGGGACAGGGACAGGGACAGGGCATGGCAGGGAGGGACAGATACGGGGACAAGCACGGGGACAGGGACAGGGATGGGGCACAGACAGGGACAGGGACGGGACAGGGATGGGGACAGGCATGGGGACAGGAACAGGGACAGGAATGGGACAGGGATAGGGACAGGCACAGGGACAGGGACAGGGACAGGGACAGGGCAGGGACAGGGACAGGCTCGGGGACAGGGACAGTCACAGGAAAACAGCACCGGGAGGGCACAGGACTGTCCCCACCATGCCCGAGGGCAGCACCGGGAGCCCCAAACCCCAAGGGGGAGCCCCAGTGCTGGGGCCCAGCCCGGGCACCTACCCTGGCGCCGGTGGTGGCCGGCAGCCCCAGGGTGATGGCCGGCAGGGAGGCCGCGCTCTGCAGGGCAAACTGCGCCAGGGAGCTCTCCTGCAGCAGCAGCCGCTGCGCCAGCGGCGCCTGCGGCAAACGGCAGCCATCAGAGCCCTGCTCCCAGCCAGGGACCAGGGCTGGGGACACGGGGACAGCCCTGGGGACACCCACGGGACACGGCAGCGCTGGCAGAGGGGAAATGCACCCTGAAGGAGGGTGGGTGTGGGGGGAGTGCTGGGCTGGGGAGAGCATCCTGGAGCAGGGAGTTCCAGGGCATCCCTGGGCATCCCTGGGCATCTCAGAGCATCCCTGGGCATCCCTGGGCATCTCAGAGCATCCCAGGGCACCCCTGGGCATCTCAGAGCATCCCAGGGCACTCCAGGGCATCCCTGGGCATCTCAGAGCATCCCTGGGCATCCCAGGGCACTCCAGGGCATCCCTGGGAATCCTGGGGCATCCCAGATCATCCCAGTGAATCTCAGAGCATCCCAGGGCACTCCAGGGCATCCCAGCTTGCAGGGAGAGGCAGCTCCAGGCAGGGGGTTCAGGGCTGGGGTCGTGGCCTCCCCCTGAGGCCCGAGGGGACACCGGGTCCCCAGAGGCACCAGGGCTCTCACCTCGTGGGCCACGCCCGGGGCGGCGGGCAGCGCGGCGTGCTCGGCGGGCAGGCTGTCGTTGGGAGAGCTGCAGCCCGACACGGGGGTGCTGCTGCTGCTGGGGGACGAGTCTGGGGGGGCACGGACACGGGGTGAGGGCACTGCCCCCCCCACCACTCCAACCTCTGCCCCCCAGCCCCTCCAGCCTCTGCCCCCCACCCTTCTGGGGCTGAATCCCCTCGGAAGGCAGCACTCCGTGGTGGGAACCCTCCACGCCAGACCCGGGGCACTTCCAGCCCTGGTGTCACTGTCCCCAAGCAGGGGTGACACAGGACCTGGAGCTGTCCCAGCCCCTGGGGAGGACACACCAAGCCCTGGGGTCACTGTCCCCAAGCAGGGGTGACACAGGACCCGGAGCTGTCCCAGCCAGCCCCGGGGTCCCCCTGAGCCCCGTCCAGGTCCCGGCCTCACCGATGGCGTCGGGCGGGCGCCTCTTCAGCGAGGGGGGCGCGCTCTCCTTGCGGGTCAGGGGGTTCTTGCGCCGGTCCAGGCACTTCCTGGGCTTGCACCGAACCTTCAGGTTGGGCTCGGACACTGCGGGGACAGGGGTCAGTCCTGGCCACAGCTGGACGGGCTCTGTGGGGCCAGTGCCAGCTCTAGCCAGGGACATTTCTGAGGCCTTGAGGGATACGGGGACATCCCTGAGACTTTGAGGGACATGGGGACATCCCTGAGACTTTGAGGGACATGGGGACATCCCTGAGGCCTTGAGGGACACAGGGACATCCCCCAGGCCTTGGGGACACGGGGACATTCCCGCGGCCGTACCTGTTTTCCGCAGTGGAAAATGCTCGGGGGTGTCGAGAGCAGCGCTGGGCACAGGGGACAGGAACGTGCTGAGCATGGCAGGGGAGGGACCCTCGGGCTCCAGGGGCTCCAGAGACCTGCGGGGAGAAGCCAGAGCCCCTTCCCAGCTGTCCCCGAGCAGGTCTGGGGCAGGGACAGGTCCTTTTGGGGACAGATCTTTACCTGTAGGGCAGGGCTGCAGCGGGGGGGTTGCTGGTCCTCTCCAGAGCCGCCTGCTGCTTCTTCAAGATGACCTCAGCCAGCTTCTGCTTCACCACCGTGCTGGCCACGGCACCTGCACGGTCACCACGGTGACCACGGTGACCCCTCGGGGCTCAGAGCCGCTCCGAAGGGTCCCTGCGGGCAGGACCCCGACCCCAGGGCTCCGCGATGGCTGGGGACCCCCGAGGGGCACAGCGGGCTCTGCTCCCACCCCGTTCCCCGTCCGTCTGTCCCACAGGAATGCTCCGTGCTCATCTGTGCCGGCATTCGGCACCTCCGAGCGCGAGTCAGTTAATTAATTAGTAATTAAGTAGGTGCGATGTGGAGCCCTGCGCGTCCCAAAATTGGGAGCGAGCCCCCGGCGGCTCCTCCAGCGCCGGCAGCAGAGGGCGCCGGGAGACCGCGGCTGGGAGGGGGCTGCACCCCAGCCCGGGGGCTGAGAACCGGGCTGGGGGACTGAGAACCCAGTCTGGGGGATACAAACCCAGCCCGGGGGCTGCAAACCCAATCTGGGGGCTGAGAACCCAGTCTGGGGGCTGCAAACCTAGCCCGGGGGTTGAGAACCAGGCTGGGGGTCTGCAAACCCAGTCTGGGGGCTGCAAACCCAGCCTGGGGGCTGAGAACCGGGCTGGGGGGCTGAGAACCAGTCTGAGGGTCTGCAAACCCAGTCTGGGGGTCTGCAAACCCAGCCTGGGGGCTGAGAACCAGGCTGGGGGGCTGAGAACCCAGTCTGGGGGCTGCGAACCCAGTCTGGGGGGTCTGCAAACCGAGTCTGGAAGCTCTCAACCCAGTCTGGTGGTCTGCAAACCCAGCCCAGGGGCTGAGGACCAGTCTGAGGGTCTGCAAACCCAGTCTGGGGGCTGTGAACCAGTCTGAGGGTCTGCAAACCCAGTCTGGGGGCTACAAACCCAGTCTGGGGGGCTGCAAACCAGTCTGGGGTCTGCAAACCCAGCCCAGGGTCCCACTGGGGTCTGTACCTGAATGGGGTCTGTAACCCACCCCGGGGGTCCCAGAGGGGTTGCAGCCCCACTCTGTGGATGCTCTCCCACCCCTTTCCCCCAGGGGAAGGCAGAGCTTGGTCTGGCTAAGGGCAGACCCCCCCGAGCCCCCTCCCCAGAGTGCCCCCGGGCACGGGCAGCCCTTACTGCGCTTGCTCTTGTCCTTGTTGAGGATCTGCCGCAGCTCCTGCTCCTGCTGGCCCGGCTCAGCCTCGCGGTGTGGGGACTCCATGGCCACCTGTGGGACAGGGACATGGGCACAGGACCCCATAACCCCCTCCCCGAGCCCACCCGAGCCCTCTGACCCCTCCCCAGCCACAGGCAAGAGGACAGAGCAGTCTGGGACAGTCCCTTGTGTCACTCAGGCTGATGGGAGCGTGTGAAGTTGTTCCACCACAACGAGCCTGACACGTTCTGGTCTCCAGGGACGCTTTGCTCTCCCCGGGGACATTGTAAAAGTCAAAACCTGTCTGTTCCCACTCGCTGCCTCCTCTCAGGGTGTTTGGGCACGTCTGCCGTGTTGCAACGTGGCAAAAAATAAAAATCTTTGTTAAGTACAAAAAGGGGGGAAAAAAATCTGTGATAGGAGGGAAATCCCAGCTGATCCATGGAAATGAGTCCTGCCCTGAGCCTGGAGCAGCCCTGGGGACAGGCAGGGGGACCTCGGTGCCTGAAGATGGTCACAGCTCCCTGGATGTGGTCACAACTCCCTTGACATGGTGACAACTCCCTGGACAGGTCACAACTCCCTGGGCATGGTCACGACTCCTTGGGCATGGTCACAGGTCCCTGGCCACTGCCACACCTCCCTGGATGTGGTCACAACTCCCTGGGAATCTTCACAACTCCCTGGGCACAATCACAGCTCCCTGGACGTGGTGACACCTCCCTGGACACTGTCACACCTCCCTGGGAATGGTCACAGCTCACTGGACATGGTCATGACTCCCCCTGCCCTGAGCCTGGAGCAGCCCTGGGGACAGGCAGGGGGACCTCGGTGCCTGAAGATGGTCACAGCTCCCTGGATGTGGTCACAGCTCCCTGGGCATGGTGACAGCTCCCTGGACACGGTGAGAACTCCCTGGGCATGGGGACAACTCCCTGGACAGTGTCACACCTCCCTGGGAATGGTCACAGCTCACTGGACATGGTCATGACTCCCTGGACATAGTGACAACTCCCTGGACAGTGTCACACCTCCCTGGGCATGGTCACCACTCCTTGGGCATGGTCACAACTCCCTGGACATGGTGACAACTCCCTGGACACTGTCACACCTCCCTGGGCATGATTACAGCTCCCTGGACATGGTCATGACTCCCTGGACATAGTGACAACTCCCTGGACAGTGTCACAACTCCTTGGACATGGTGACAACTCCCTGGACACTGTCACACCTCCCTGGACATGGTCATGACTCCCTGGACATGGGCATGACTCCCTGGACATGGGCATGACTCCCTGGACATGGGCATGACTCCCTGGACATGGGCATGACTCCCTGGACATGGGCATGACTCCCTGGACATAGTGACGACTCCCTGGACACTGTCACACCTCCCTGGGCATGATTACAGCTCCCTGGACATGGTCATGACTCCCTGGACATGGTGACAACTCCCTGGACAGTGTCACACCTCCCTGGGCATGGTCACAGCTCCCTGGACATGGTGACAACTCTCTGGGCAGGTCACAACTCCCTGGACAGTGTCACACCTCCCTGGGCATGGTCACAGCTCCCTGGACGTGTCCTCCCACCTGCCTCCCTCTGAAGCCTCCCGGAGGAGCCACCCCCGGGACTGGAGGAGCCATCCCCACCAAATCCCGCTGGATTCCTGTGCCAATGAAACCCGGCAGCGAACTCCTGCGCGGGGCAGGAGCTGCGGGTGGCACCGGAGCTCGGTGACACTCCCCAGACAAACCGAGTGAGTGCCGGTGGGTCCCGGTGCCCCCGGGGCAGAGCAGCAGGGCAGGGGCAGCCCCGGCCCGCAGGGATCCCTGCAGCACGGCTGGAGGCTCCAGCCCTGGAATTTGGCCTGGAATCGAGACACAACCCCTCCACCTGCCTCCCCTTGCGTCACAGAGCTCCCTGGGCTGGCTGGAAAGCCCTCCAGATGTTCCAGCTCAGGGAAAAGCAGGAATTCACCTGGGAATGTTATTTTGGCGTTGGGATTTCCAGCCTTTTCCTCTGAATCCCTGCCCGGAGAGGGGAACTCAAAGCCAGCCCCTGCTTCTGGGGGCAAAATTCACCTTCCAAAGTGCCCAATCCTGCCCCAAACCCCGCCAAGAGCGGGGTGTGGGCCCCCCCTACCCTGTCCCCTGCCCTGTCCCCTGCTTTGTCCCCTACCCTGACGTGCTGGTGGGCGAGCTGCTCCACTTGCTGCTGGTGCAGGCTGGCCAGGAAGAGCTGGTGCTGCAGCTGCTGCTGCTTCAGGGCCAGCAGCGCCGTGTCCTGGGGCTTGACCACGCGCTGCCCGATCCGCAGGTCCATGGGGACGGCCTGGGGCACCCGCGGGGAGGTGCACGGCGTCACGGCAGCTGTGAAAAAAAGCCCATCACTTGTTTTTTTTTTTTAAATTTTAAAAGTTGAATAGTGGTAATATAATTAGAATAATAAAGTTTGAACAATTGAGGATAGGACAATATGAGACAATAAAAACAAAGAGATACGGACGTCCGGGGGCCTTTTTCTGGGCATCACGAGCCCGAAAAAGGACCCCGGTTAACAGAGGATTAGCCCTTAAAAACAATCGCCTGTTGCATATTCATACATCTCATACATGATGCATAAATTCCATTCAAACACAGGATTCTGTCTGGTCACTGTCAACTTCTTCCTCTTAATCCTCATGCCATCTTCCTGTCTGAGCGAGGTGGGAAGAAGTTAAGTTTTCAGCCCCGATGCTCCTGGCCAGGATGAGGCCACCAAACTCAGGGCGGTTTTCCAGAGCTTGGAAACACAAAACACCCCGAGCTGGGTGCCAGGGCAGTGCGGGACGAGGGCTGGTGGCACTGGGAGGGAAACGCAGGCTCTGGGCAGGAGCCACTGTCCCCATGTGGGTGCGAGACCCCTCCTCAGCTCCAGACCCCCCTGGCAAAGCCCCTCCTGCCCCGGGAGCTGTTTGTGAGCTCCCTGTACAGCTTGGATTCATTTGGGGTTTGCTGCCGGGCCCTGGGCCAGCAGTCACAGTAAACAACCCCCTCTTCCTCCATCCAGGGGACCAAGCCCGAGGCTCCTCCCCTTCCCCCCACCCCAAAAAAGCCAAATGTAAAGTCCCACCGTGGCTCTGGGGGGTTTGTCCCTGTCCCCAACCCAGCCTGGGTCCTGCCGGTGCCCAGGGGACCCTCAGAAGCCACCAGCACCAGGAGACGTGGCTGGGACCAGGATCACAGTTTGGGACCGGGATCACAATTTGGGACTGGGATGGAAAATCTGGGACCGGGGTCACAGTTTGGGACTGAGATGGAAAATTTGGGACCAGGATCACAGTTTGGGACCAGGATACCCAGTTTGGGACCGGGATGCCCCAACCATCCCCAGCACTGCAGCTGCAGCCCGAGGATCCTCCACGGGAAGGGGAGCCTGTGACCCGGAGTCTCCCCGGGGATCCTCCATGGGAAGGGGAGCCTGTGACACGGAGTCTCCCCAGGGATCCTCCATGGGGAGGGGAGCCTGTGACACGGAGTCTCCCCAGGGATCCTCCATGGGGAGGGGAGCCTGTGACACGGAGTCTCCCCAGGGATCCTCCATGGGGAGGGGAGCCTGTGACACGGAGTCTCCCCAGGGATCCTCCATGGGGAGGGGAGCCTGTGACACGGAGTCTCCCCAGGGATCCTCCATGGGGAGGGGAGCCTGTGACACGGAGTCTCCCCGGAGTGCCCTGGGAAAGCGGCGGCCGGGCAGGGCATGAATGAGGGCTCTGTGCTCCAGCCCCGGCACAAATGCCTTACCAGCATTTTCCAGGCTGCCGGCACGGAACGGAGCAGGGAACGCAGCCGAGGGGCCACGGGCTCAGCCACGAGGTGGGACAGACACGGAGGGAGGGCCGGGACAGCCAGGGAGGGTGGGGAGCCCCACTTTGCACCTCGAAAGTCCTGAGGAGCTTTGGGACAGGGTGAAGTTTGGTGGCAGCGAGTTCCCCAGGCTGGGGGTGGCAGCGCCGGGCTGGTGTCACTCGGGACACCACCACGCCGCTCCCAGCCAGCCATCCCGGAAAAGAACAACAACAACAAAAAAAATCCAGCACAGAAATCTTTGCTTTGGCATTTCCTGATTGTTTTTAAAGAGGCAAATCAGCCGTCAACAGAGCTGGGCTTACATAAGAGGGAAATAAAGCGAGAGGCAAACAAAGCAGGGCAGGGAGGTTACTGAGGAGCAAAGCAGTGACATCCCAGCTCTGCTGTTCTGTGCAGCCCTGCCTGCACCTCTGCCTGCATCCCTGCCTGCATTCCTGTCTATCCCTGCCTGCATTCCTGCCTGCATCCCTGTTTATCCCCACCTGTATCCCTTTTTATCCGTGCCTGCACCTCCATTTATCCCTGCCTGCATCCCTGTTTATCCCCACCTGCATCCTTATTTATCCCCGCCTGCATCCCTATTTATCCCTGCCTCCATCCCTATTTATCCCTGCCTCCATCCTTGCTTATCCCTTCATGTATCCCTGTTTATCCCTGCCTGTATCCCTATTTATCCCTGTCCTCCTCCCTGTCCTCCTCCTTGCCTGTATCCCTATTTATCCCTGCCTGCATCCCTATTTATCCCATCACGTATCCCTGTCTATCCCTGTCCTCCTCCCTTCCCTCATCCCTGCCTGCCCACAGCTCGCTCTGAGGTGGAGCAGCAGTTAAATCCAGGCTGGGTTTTTTTTTTCAACAAACCATCTTCTTTTACAAAAGCTTTTCCCATCTTATGCTGATCTGCTGTGAAAGGTTCAGAGTTCAGGCGGGTTGAAGAACGCGGGTGATTAAAAACACTCCTCTCTAATAAAAGGGAAAAGGTCTTCTCCAGAGCCCTGCACAAGGAGCAGGAATGAGCTGGAGGGAGCTCGCTCAAATTAAAAACACTTAAATAAGAAACCACACCAAAGGGATCGTGTTGAAAGAACACGAAGATCACAAAGGGGGAACTGGAGAAATAGGAAATCCCGGAGCTGGGTACCTCGTTTAACCCTGCCAGGCCCCGCGGTGCTGGCTTTAATTAGGGACCAAACTCTGCTCCCCAGAACGAAAAATCACCCAACCCACCCTGCCCCAGCTTTTGGGGGGACACTGGGGACCCCCCACAGGTGCCCACACGTCCCTTTGTCCCCTACCTCCATCTCGTGTGTCCCCGAGGGGTTTCCTCGCAGGATCCCACAAAATCTCAGCGTTTGGGGCATTTTCCTCTTTCCTCTCCTTAGCACAGAGCTCCGGGGATGGGGGCTCAAGGGATGGGAGATCCAGGGGGGGGAGATCCAGGGAAAGCTGCTCCGGGGAAAGCTGCTCCAAGGAAAGAAGCTCCAGGGAAAACAGCTCCAAGGAAAGCTGCCCCAGGGAAAACAGCTCCAGGGAAAGCTGCCCCAGGGAAAGCTGCCCCAGGGAAAGCTGCCCCAGGGAAAGCTGCCCCAGGGAAAGCTGCTCCAGGGAAAGCTGCCCCAGGGAAAGCAGCTCCAGGGAAAGCTGCCCCAGGGAAAGCTGCCCCAGGGAAAGCTGCCCCAGGGAAAGCTGCCCCAGGGAAAGCTGCTCCAGGGAAAGCCCTGCACCCCCCGGCTGTCCCCACACGGAGAGAGCGCCGGCCACGTCCCGCAGGAGCCATAAGAGAGCAGATGATGCTCAGGCAAGATGTAATGTTTGGAGCAGCCGGGTGCCAAGTTCTGATAACTCTTTCTGGAGCTCATGGAGTGGGAGTTTCAGGGGCTTTACGCCTCAGCCAGATGTGGGTGGATCTCTTCCCTCCCCACCAGACAGCAAATTCCTGCTCCAAAACCAGACGAGGCTGATGCTGCTCCAAGAGAAGCCCCCTGAGAGATTTTCCACCAGGGTAAACCCAAATTTTTCTGCTCTGATTCTTGCAAACTTCCTTCTGCAGAAAGTTTCCAGAAAAAATAAAAAATTAAAAAAATGATACAGACGATGATTAAAGTCTGGCAAAGTCACCAGAGCAGCACAAAACCCTTCCCACAACCAAAGGCACGAACCAGGATTCAGCCACACACCAACCTCGCCGTGCACCTGTGAGCAGAGCAGATTTTTAGGCACTCCAAGCACAAAAATGGGAATTTTCCCTGCTGGAGCCTAGAAACGAGCTGCACATCAGGCCTGGGGAGGCAGATCAGGGCAAGATGCTTCCTCTGATTGCTCTCCCTGGTTTTTTGCAGCTCGTGACCTTTGAGTCAGACATTTAATAGCCCTCCCTGGAATTTTCTCCCCACACATGTGCACATTTCCTTTTGAAACTCATGGCTCCGGGACCCAAAAACCTCAGGGCTGGCCCAGAGTCCAGGGACAGGGAGGAAACACCTTTGGGACTTGCAGAAGCTCCCTGGATGCTGTCCCTTTTGCAGGGATGAGCTTTGAAAGCCTTCAGAGCACCCAACCCTGAATGCGCTGAGGCAAGACCCCCCCAGCAAAAGCTTTTGGGCCTAAATTTGAGATCTCAGAAACATCCAGGTACTTAACCACAGGAAATTCTGGGCACAGGCAGGACGGAGCTGCCCCACGGGTCCCACAAAATGCGGTTTGAGCGTGGGCAGCACCAGGGACAAGCGGGGATCAAAGGGCTCACTCATCTCCTGCAGCCACAGCCGGGCCAGGGCAGAGCAGGGACGGCGAGTGGCTCCATCCCCACCGCAGCCCTGGCACAGCTGGAAACCTCTGGCAGTCATTTCCTGCAGCCTCCCGCCCCCACGGGTCACCCCAGCCCATCCCAAGGAGCGGAGGAGGGAGAGGTGTCCCCAGGAAACCTCGCGGCCACCGCGGCTTCCTGAGGAGCACCGGGAACGCCGCGACCACAGGGCTCTGCTGAAGGGCAGCCAAGGCGGCCTCGTGCTCCCCAGAGCGGCACAGGCAGCCTCAAATCGCAGAAACCCACGAGATTTGCGGGAAATCCTCCTTTTCCAGAAGAGGAACATCCCCCAGAGCGCATCCCGCCCTGCCGGATCGCTCCCCTCACCTGCTCGCCCAGCCCGGCCGGGATCTGCCGGCTCCCCCCGGCTCTAGGGAGCCCCAAACATCTCCCTGGCCCTGTGGGGAGGCAAATCTGCCCCTCCTGATGCTCCAGCGGGGCCTTTCCCTGCGGCAAACACCCCGCTGCTCCACCGCACCGCGCCGCTCCTCTCCTTGAGGGGCGAGAAAAGCTCCAGCACCGCCCGGAGCGCAGGCAGGGACGGGCTGGGACACAGGCAGCACCTCCAGGCTGGCAAACCACGCGGCTCTGGCCGAGCTGGAACAGCCCAGTGCCCTCCGGCCCCATCTGCCACCCCAGGATCCCAGCGCTGCCCAAAGCTCGGCATCACCCCCTGCCCGCGGAGCCGCTCCGGGGAGAGGCTCTGGCCCCGCTC